ATATTCAAGCCAGCAGTAGTAGAGAAGTCTGGTTGCTCTTCTTAGGGATTTTTATACCTTTCGGCTACGTGCAAGTGACTCATTCTCTTACTGATAAGGAAGGACCGGCCAGCTCACATGAAGGTTTTCCAACTCACCAGAAAATCTCTGATGATAATGAGCACTTCAGATATTGCAAGTACCCATTATTGCTAATGACTGGCATCCATAAAAGGCTCAATCGTCACCCAAGTGTCACATTGGGCTGGTAGATTGTGTCGCAGTCAGACCTGCCTTTACCCAGCAATACAGAAGGCAAAGTGCAGTAACCCTTAGAAATCAGAATTAGACTTCATTCATGTTACCTTGGTCAATCAAAATTTGATTGCTTTCTATAGATTTCTTTATCTTGCACACTATCAGTAGTACACTTATAATGAAGGAATTATTCACGCATTGCAGACATTTATTTTTGAGATTTAGTTCCCTGGCTTTCATGATGATATGTCATGGCTTCAGTTCTTTTAGTCAGCATGCTTGCTTCAGGTCTGCATACCAGGAAGTTTGGGCTCTGTATTGATCACATAATTGCACTAGTTCTGACTGAACCAGCAAAGAAATCTATATCCAGCTATTGATTACAGGAAACTGTGCACTTGGCAAAGAAAAAATAATTCTTCCAGTCTGCTCTTTCTTTCTTCCTCACCCTCTCCTTCTCCCTTCCTCACCCTCTCCTCCCTCTCAAATTCAAATTTGTATAAGCTTTTTTCATAAGGACCAAAACACATTTTAGTATTGTCAAAGCAATTGAGAGTGTGTTATGGGTTAATTGGAGCTGAAAGGGTGGAAGGAACAAGTGCTAGGACATTACCAGGAGTAAAGGATGACGTAAAGGAAATAGGAGGTGATAAGCTTAATGGCTCATATAAAAGGCTAAAAGGTAAAGCAGCCCACAGATGACTCTATCTTCTTTTCTTCCACCACGGGTAGAAAGAAAATAGCTTGATTCCCCCATCAACACAATGCTGATGGAGGAATGCCTCCCACAGTGTTATATTCTGCCATTGGGGGGAGGGTTACTTTCCCAGCCGGCAGAACACCATGATTACTGTTAGTGGCTAAAGCTGCAGGCAATAACTGAATGTAAAACAACCCGACACTGGTTGTACCCAAGTCGTTTGATGGATGGACTTGTGTACAATCGGCCTGCCCATACATGGATCCAATTTTGATCCATCTGTGGCCAGCTTAACTCCTAGGACATTTTTGGGGGTAAATGTTAATATTTAAGGAAATAGGGGTTTGAGCTCTTTATTGATCACGTGAATGTACTTTGACTGAAACGTCCCCGATGCTCTTTCCCTCCCTCTTTCCAAAGCTTATTCAGGAGCAATTGTAGACCTCCCCTTTTCTATTCGGTCTTCCTCATCTCCCTTTTCTGCCCCCCATATCTTTCCCTCTTGCTCCCCCCCATATCTTTCCCTCTGCTCCCCCCCCCATATCTTTCCCTCTGCTCCCCCCCCCATATCTTTCCCTCTGCTCCCCCCCCCCATATCTTTCCCTCTGCTCCCCCCCCATATCTTTCCCTCTGCTCCCCCCCATATCTTTCCCTCTGCTCCCCCCCCATATCTTTCCCTCTGCTCCCCCCCCCCCCCATATCTTTCCTCTGCTCCCCCCCCCATATCTTTCCCCTGCTCCCCCCCATATCTTTCCCTCTGCTCCCCCCCCATATCTTTCCCTCTGCTCCCCCCCCATCTTATCTTTCCCTCTGCTCCCCCCCCATATCTTTCCCTCTGCTCCCCCCCCCCCATATCTTTCCCTGCTGCCCCCCCCCATATCTTTCCCCTCTGCTCCCCCCCTCTCTCTCTCCCCCCCTTCTCTCTCTCTAGCTCTGCTCCCCCCCTCCTTCTCTCTCTGCTCCCCCCCCTTCTCTCTCGATCTCCCCCCCTTCTCTCTGCTCCCCCCCTCTCTCTGCTCCCCCCCTTCTCTCTTCTCTGCTCCCCCCTTCTCTCTCTCTCTGCCCCCCCTCTCTCTCTCTCGCTCTGTCTCCCCCCCTTATCTCCTCTCTCGCTCTGCCCCCCCTTCTCTCTCCTCTCTCTCTGCCCCCCCCTTCTCTCTCTCGCTCTGCCCCCCCCCTTCTCTCTCTCGCTCTGCCCCCCCCATTTCTCTCTCTCGCTCTGCCCCCCCCCCCTTCTCTCTCTCGCTCTGCCCCCCTCCTTCTCTCTTCTCTCTCTCGCTCTGCCCCCCCCTTCTCTCTCTCGCTCTGCCCCCCCCCTCCTCTCTCTCCCCCCCCTTTCTCTCTCTCGCTCTGCCCCCCCTTCTCTCCCCCCTCTGCCCCCTTCCTTCCCTCCTCTCGCTGCCCCCCCCTCTCTCTCTCTCCCTGCCCCCCCTTCTCTCTCTCGCTCTGCCCCCCCCCCCTCTCTCTCTCGCTCTGCCCCCCCCCCCCTTCTCTCTCTCGCTCTGCCCCCCCATTCTCTCTCTCTCTGCCCCCCCATTCTCTCTCTCGCTCTCTGCCCCCCTTCTCTCGCTCTCCCCCCTCTCTCCCCCCCCCCCTTCTCTCTCTCGCCCCCCCCCTTCTCTCTCTCTCCTCTGCCCCCCCCTCTCTCTCCCCTCCCCCCCTCTCTCTCCCCCCTTCTCTCTCTCCCTCCTCCCCCTCTCTCTCCCTTCTCTCTCCTCCCCTCCTTCTCTCTCTCTCTCCCCTCCTCTCTCTCTCTCCCCCCCTTCTCTCTCTCTCCCCCCCTCTCCCCTTCTCTCTCTCTGCTCCCCCTTCTCTCTCTCTGCTCCCCCTTCTCTCTCTCTCCTCCCCCCCTCTTCTCTCTCTCTGCTCCCCCCCTCTCCTCTCCCTCTCTGCTCCCCCCTTCTCTCTCTCATTTCCCCTCGCTCCCTCCCTCTCTCTCTCTCTCCCCCCCTTCCCTCCCCCCCCTCTCCCCCTCTCCCCCCCCCCCCCTCCCCTCCCCCCTCCCCCTCCCTCCCCCCTCCCTTCCCTCCCCCCCCCTCTCCTCCCTCCCCCCCTCCCCTCCTCCCCTCCCTCCCTCGCCCCTCCCCTCCTCCCCCCCCTCCTCCCTCCCCCCTCTCTCTCCCCCCCCTCCCCCTCTCTCCCTCCTCCCCCCTCTCTCCTTCCTTCTCTCCTCTCCCCCCTCCTTCCTCTCTCTCCCCCCCCCCTTCTCCCCCCTCCCCCCCCCTCTCTCTCTCACTACCCCCCCTTCTCTCTCCCTCCCCCTTCTCTCTCTCCCCCCCCCCCTTCTCTCTCTCTGCTCCCCCCTCTCTCTGCTCCCCCTTCTCTCTCTCTCTCCTCCCCCTCTCTCTCTCTCCTGCCCCTTCCCTCTCTCTCTCTCTCTGCTCCCCCCTCTCTCTCGCCCCCCTCCTCTCCCTCTCTTCCCCCCTCTCTCCTCTCTCCCCCCTCGCTTCTCTCTCCCCCCCTTCCTCTCCCTCCCCCTTCCCCCCCCCCCTTCCTCTCCCTCCTTCCCCCCCCCCCCCCTCCCTCCTCCCTCCCTCCTCCCTCTCCCCCCCTCCCCCCTTCCTCCCCCCCGTCCTCTCCCCCCCCCCTCCCTCCCCTCCTTCCCCTCCCCCCCTCCTCCCCCCTCCTTTTCTCCCTCCCCCCCTTCCTCTCCCTCCCTTTCCCCCCCCCTCCTCTCTCCTCCTTCCCCCCCCCTTCCTCCCTCCCCCTCCTTCCTCCCCCCTTCCGCCCTCTCCCTCCTTTCCCCCCCCTTCCTCTCCCTCCTTCCCCCCCCCTCCCCCCTTCCTTTCCTCTCCCCCCCATTCCCCTCCTTTCCTTCCCCCCCCTTCCTCTCCCCTCCTTCCCTCCCCCCGCCCCTTCCTCCCTTCCCCCCCCCCCCCTTCCTCTTTCGTCCTTCCCCCCCCCCTTCCTCTCCCTCCTTCCCCCCCCCCCCCTTCCTCTTCTCCCCCCCCCCCCCTTCCCCTCCCCCCCCCACCTCTCCCTCCTTCCCCCTCCCCCCCTCCTTCCCCCCCCCTTCCTCTCCCTCCTTTCCCCCCCCTTCCTCTCCCTCCTTTCCCCCCCCCTCCTCTCCCTCCTTCCCCCCCCTTCCTCTCCCTCCTTTCCCCCCCCCCTTCCTCCCCTCCTTTCCCCCCCCCTTCCTCTCTCCCCTTTCCCCCTCCCCCCCCTCCCTCCTCCTTCCCCCCCCCCTTCCTCTCCCTCCTTTCTTCCCCCCCTTCCTCTCCCTCCTTCCCCCCCCCTCCTCTCCCTCCTTTCCCCCCCCTCCTCTCTCCTTTCTCCCCCCCCTCTCCCTCCTCCCCCCCCCTTCCTCTCCCCCTTTCCCCTCCCCCCTCCTTCCCCCCCCTTCCTCGCCCTCTCCCCCCCTTTTCCCTCCCCTCTCCCCCCCCCTTTTCCCTCCTTCTCTCCCCCCCCCTTCCCCCTTTCCCCCTCTCCCTCCCCCCTCCTTCTCCCCTCCCCCCCCCCCCTTTTCGCCCTCTCTCCCCCCCTTTTCTCCCTCTCCCTCCCCCCCCCCTTTTCTCCCCCCCCCCTCCCTTTTCTCCCTCCCCCCCCCTTTTCTCCCTCCCCCCCCCCTTTCTCCCTCCCCCCCCCTTTTCTCCCTCCCCCCCCCCCTTTTCTCCCTCCCCCCCCTTTTCTCCCTCCCTCCCCCCCCCTTTTTCTCCCTCCCCCTCCCCCCCCCCCTTTTCTCCCCCCCCCCCTTTTCTCCCTCTCTCTCTCCCCCCCTTCCTCTCTCCCCCCCCTCCCTCTCTCCCTCCCTTCTTGCTCTCCCCCTTCTTCCCCCTTCTTTCTTTCTCTGCAGCACAACTAAAACATCTCTGATGTGATTTTATTTAATGCCTATAAATTCTGCTTTTAGTTCTTTGTATACAGATATTGATACAGTTACAATAGCATTATATAATTCCTTGCTGCTTCTTGTCTGCTATAGTACCAGAAATGCGTTCATGCTTAGAGGAGATAAATAGTTTCTTTCTTTCTTTTTTGCTTCAGTAAACTGGCTGGCTGTTTTGTATCGATAGATGTTTCTCTTTCAAACATCTATTAATACTACATCTGCATTCTCTTTCAGGTCGGAAAAGCAATGTCTTCAAATGAATCCGCTGCCTATGAAATCATGAGAAGCTTGGATGTAGATTATGTATTGATTATTTTTGGAGGTGTAATTGGCTACTCTGGCGATGACATCAATAAGTTTCTCTGGATGGTTAGGATAGCAGAAGGAGAACATCCAAAAGACATCAGGGTAAGAAAATACTCTGTGTACATGCCCTTTGAAAGGAAAGAGTCTTGCCTGCCCTTGTATAATAATAAAACCTCTAGGGCAGGGGTTGCTTTAATTTTTTTTTTTTATTTCTTTTTGTTTAGAGTTGTGCCCTTTTAGCTCAAAAGCTGCATTGTTTTGCAGAACATTAATGCTCAAACATTTGTTAAAAAAAAAAAAAAAAAGCCTTCGGGTATATACATAGGAAACCATGATTGGTATGAAAAAGATGTATTTACATGTTAACCCTTTAATTTAAGTATTAAGGTGCTGCAATATCAGAATGTAAATCTGTATATTGAAAAGTAAATGTTGGGCTCTCCAGTAGAAGTGATTTGGATGGCTGTAAACAAACATGTGCTTCAAACCACGCACACACATGTCCTACATCTATTGCAGTCTTCAGGATGGAGAGTAGAGATGAGAATCCTTCATTTCTCAATCTTCCTTGTTTCTGTTTCAGAGCTGTCTGATCCTAAAAAAAAAAAAACATACCATACCACACAGACTTCTTAAGCCACATGAGGATGGGTGCACAGCTGAATGGCGGCACTGTTAAAATGCATTGAAAGCCAGCACTAACAATAAAGTCCAAGTAGACAAGTTTACCAACAAACACCAACCACTGTAGACAAGAGAGCAACAGATTAAGTACAGCCTTTAACTGATCTCTTAGGACATAGCAGACATTAGGACCTGTCATAAAGAAATTGCTATCATATAGAAGACTTGTCAGTGAAAATATTTAAAAAAAAAAAAAAAAGACTGCCACTGCAAGGATTCAACCTATGTCTGTAGCCCTTCTCCTTGTTATTTTCACCCTCAAACCTGGGAGAAATAAAGCTCCGACACCGAAGTGTGCAAGCTAAATCTGTGAAAGTTTAATACAAAACAACGGTTATACAGAACTCAGTAGGCATTGCTTAATCTCAGGATGACCAATGAAACATTCCATTCTTATCAATATAGTCACGTGAAGAACAGACACTGCAAATAGTTGAGGGATACCATATAAAGTAGTTCCGTTTACAGAAATGAAACTATTGTAAGAAAACAAGAGAGAAGTTACAAAACCGAAACCAACTGTTCACACATCTAGAAATCTAGGCATTATACAAAATGGATGCCAGGTAATAAAACATATTTCCTTACAGCCACCTGTGCACACACATGCAAAACGTGCTTGTAGGTCATGTGCATAAGTGTGCACTGAGATACTAAAGACAGTATTATGGTTAACTCGAAATTGACAAGCTGTAAACTTAGGGTCGCCTATAGACAAATTTGGGTATCATACTTTCTTACAGGCACATGCACATTTAAATCTTCACCGTATCTAGAATTTTTTTATTGAACTCCTTCTCACCTTTTATATTTTACAGCAAATTTGGAGATTTTACATTTTAACCCTCATGTACATGAAAATTGAGACTAAAAAATAAGTTTGATAAACGGTTGCACTTATGTCATGTGACATAAAATAACTACAACTACCTAATTTGATTCTATGGGTCATTTGCTTTTTTAAAAATACGTAGAGGAGTTTACTAAGATTGTACAAGTTGGAAGCTGATGATGTGCATGGCAAACAGTCGGATTTTACCTTTCATTTTCAAAGCTTAACTGAACAAGTTGAAGATGGAAGATGATTGGTTACTATGCACAGCTGCTCCTAATTCTCTCTGCTCCAGTTTTCAGAAATTCCCCCCACAATGTTTTGGAGTTTGAAGTGCAGATTCATATACAAACTAAGTGTTTAAGCAAAATGCAAAAAAATTGCTTAGACAGTGAAAGGGTTATATATAGTTCAACAACTGATCGTTGTTTCAGTAGCATGTAACCCAATGTTTTTTTTTTTTGTTTTTGTTTTTTTTTGCTCTTATGGAAGTCAGAAAGTGCAAACTGGTTTTTATCTTTTGGGGTAAAGAGGGGGTGGGGGTACTCAGCTTAATGTTTAATGTGTGACAATACAGTTGGGTACTTGCATCATGATGCAAAGATCGGATTTAAAGTTTATAAAAGTATGCCATCAGCTTTGATCTGGATTTATTTTTCAACTTTTAGGAAAGTGATTATTTCACACCCCAAGGAGAATTTCGAGTTGACAAGGCTGGATCTCAAACTCTGCTAAATTGCCTCATGTATAAAATGTCGTATTATCGATTTGGTGAAATGCAAGTAAGTATGAAATTTAGCACTTGCTATCCTTAAAACTAGAAATTTTGTGCAAAGCAGACTCCTGTGTTGGTAACGGTAAATGGAAGAATGAATGGAGAATATGAGAATTGGTGGCTCCCCTCCCTATCTTACTTGCTATCCAAACCTGTGATGTTTTGTGTGTGGGAGACTACACCTACTGTATATACACTGATTACTACTATAATCTAAACTAAACAGAAGGCTGTCTTAAAATGCATTGGAATCATTTTGTATTGGAATCTTTTTTTTTTTTTGTTAACTGTGGTTGTATTTTTGATGTGCTCACAAGTTCTTCATATGTATTTCATGGCATCACCATAGGCCAAGCACCCTCCTATATGGTGTAAAGTAGGGATGCACCAATACCGACGAGTACAAGTACCTATCCTTTTGGTCAAGTACTCAAGGATACCGAGTACTGGTACTATGCAGTGCGATTTGCGTCTATACAGAATGTATGGACGCAAATTGCACTGCAAAGAGTAGCATGTGATTTGAACAGGAATGCAATTCCTGTCCAGATTGCATGCAGTTTTCCCACTGCTACTGTGTGAACCCAGGCTTGTCATAGAGTTAACACAGGATCGGTGCAGGGAGGTTTCCCGCAGTGGAGAGTGGGCATGTGGGGATGGATACTATGATAGCAGATGATGCTCCATGTTCTCAGTGGTAGGGAAGGAGAGAAAGCGGCTGGAATTTGCGAACCAGTCAAAAGCCCTTTAGCCCGAACTGTCATCCCTGCAAAGAGAGGAGAGAAATTTTAAATTCCCCCCGCTTTCTCTCCTTTTCTACTGCTGAGAATATGGAGCATCTGCCTCCATAGTATACATCCCCACACGCCCACTCTCCACTCAGCATGGGATGTCTTAAGGGAGGTTTCATACAGGACGTCAAACAACAAAAAAGAAATATTCCCAGCTCTAACTTGCCGTACAGCCTGCAAACAAACCGAATTAACCTGTCTTAACAGTATGCGTTAAAAACAGGGGTTTAGTTTGCAAACACGTGTAAGCTACAGAGCCCAGTATTCTGTAGTTCCTAACTCCAATTTTAAGAGCCCCCATAGTTGAGGCATATGTATTTAATGGATAGAACAAGGGCAGATGAACCTGAGGGAGCCCAGCCCTCCTTAAAGGTACAGGAGCGCACTGGACACCCCGCATGTAGCACAATGGCAGCTAGGGTGTGCAGTGCGCCCCCTTGACTAGCAATTCAACAATACTGCGTAATGCGCCGCTCTTCCATGTGCTCCTTGCTGTGAAGGTCAGTTATAGACTGGGGCAGTGGCCATTTTTTGTAAGGTTTCATACAGGAGCCATTGGGGGAAACTGCATGTGATTTGGACAGAGATCGCATGCTAATCTTTGCACTGCAATTTGTATTGACGCAAATTGCAACGCAAAGTATTAGTTTCCGGTACCAGGAAAATGCTCTGTATCGGTGCGTCCCTAGCGTAAAGGGTATGGGGCAGGGGTATGGTATACAGTAATAAAAACCTGACCTAGCCATCTACTCTGCTAAAGAAAGTGCTTTGTCTGGAGACTTTTCTTCATTTCCTGTCAAAACAGGATAGGATTTGAGAGGCAATCCCTCTTACGGAGTCTCCAGATAGAGTGGACAAGGATTGACACTATCTCAAATCTAATCCAAGAGAAACACATTTGGCTAGACATACACTTTTTAAACCATGTAAAAAGGATCCCAAGGAAGGAATGTATTATACAATACATTGAGACACTTTTTGCATTTCCATAGTGTTATTACCTTATTTAAATAAATAACAAACCTTTTGTAAAAATCTTTTTAAACCACTTAAATCACATACTGCACTCATGTTCATTTGTAGGAAGTCAGAAGAAGCATCTGATGTGCATATAGCTCTGTGCCCTATGTGAATACCAAATTAGGAATAAACAGAATTCATATCAGTCTGCTGTTTCAATTTCTGTCCTTCTGCACTGCAGTGAAAAGTTCAAACTTTGTGACCTATCATGTTGCTGATCTGGCCTGTAAATTGTCAGTATCTGATTTTGTTCTGTTAGTGCCTTATCATAGCACCAGAACCTGGGAACTGCTTTGTGGTACCTTGAATAGATGTCTTCTGCACTGCAAATTTAGTACACTTATGAAGATTTAACCACTGACCTTCCACCTATTTATATTGGAAGCAACCTGAGAAAAAGCAACATTTACAGATCGATAGTTCTTTGTAGCATAGTTTAGGACTAGCTTACCATATGGTTTATCTAAGGAAGACAAGTTCTCAGACACTTACATCTGTTTTGCTGACAATCAGACAGTATAATTAAAGTAGTAAAATCCACTGCACAGACATAAGTCTGTATTAAATACAGTATAAGCTAACATTGTATAATTCACAAATGTACAGTAAATTGTTTTTTTCCGAATGCTTTGCAGAAACATTTCCTTGGAAGTGCACGTATAAAATACAAAGAATTAGAGCGTAGTTAAAGGAATACAGTGAAAATAAATGTGTATATAAACACATGCTCATAAACAAAATATTTGTAGCTGATCTGTAGTAGCAATCGGGTGACTTTAGTTTTACAAATGGATTAAAGGGAAGCAATCTCAAGATTAATTTGTTATATAAACCATTGACAGGATTTTTTCTGGAGCGATTACATAAGTATGATTTTCCATCAACCTGTAAGACGTCACGTTAATTCTTGTACAGAAAGAAATATCTGCATCCTCCTGCAGAATGTTACCATAAAGCACGATACCTTACAGTGCCGGTCATCTTGAATAGAATCCCAAACACACCTGACTTTTAGCACATAACAGATAGATGGGAACCATTGTGGTGTGCGGCACTGGAAAAAATGGGTTTATGAAAATTCACATGGACAGCCAATTCAAAATGAATGTACTCACCAAAACAGTTCTGATCCCCATTGTGAACTTGAACTTTCATAATAAATGACCCAAATCTATTAGTTTTTCCTTTTTAGGTTTGTTTTAAATTTTGACCTAGACTGTTGTCTATAGAGGATATACCTGTGTTGAATGACATTTGCTATATTAAGTGTTGATACCAGTGTTTTTGAGATTCAGTATGTACAGTGCCTTGAAAAAGTATTCATACCCCTTAACATTTTCCACATTTTGTCATGTTGCAACCAAAAACGTAAATGTATTTTATTGGCATTTTATGTGATAGACCAATACTTAAGTGGCACGTAATTGTGAAGTGGAAGGAAAATGATAAATGTTTTTCAAAATTTGTAACAAATATCTAAAAAGTGTGGCGTGCATTTGTATTCAGGCCCCTTTACTCTGATACCTCTAACTAAAATCTAGTGGAGCCAATTGCCTTCAGAAGTCACCTAATTAGTAAATAGAGTCCACCAGTGTGTAATTTAATCTCCGTATAAATACAGCTGTTCTGTAAAGCCCTCAGAGGTTTGTTAGAGAACCTTAGTGAACAAACACCATCATGAAATCCAAGGAACACACCAGACAGGTCAGGTATAAAGTTGTGGAGAAGTTCAAAGCTTGGGATATTTTTTTATAAGCTAACCCTGCTTTAAACATCTCATGGAGCACTGTCTAGGCCATCATTCGAAAATTGAAAGTATGGCACAACTGCAAACATAACAAAACATGGCCGTCCGCCTAAACTGACAGGCTGGGCAAGAAGAGCATTAATCAGAGAAGCAGCCAAGAGGCTTATTGTAGCTCTGGAGGAGCTGCAGAGATCCACAGCTCAGGTGGGAGAATCTATCCACAGGACATCTATTAGTCGTGCACTCCACAAATCTGGCCTTTATCGAAGAGTGGCAAGAAAGCCATTGTTGGAAGAAAGCCATAAGAAGTCCTGTTTGCGAGAAGCCATGTGGGGGGTACAGAAAACATGTGGAAGAAGGTGCTTTGGTCAGATGAGACCAACATTTAACTTTTTGCATTAAAGGTAAAACGCTAGGTGTGGTGGAAAACTAACACTGCACATCACCCTGAACACACCATCCCCACCGTGAAACATGGTGGTGGCAGCATAATGTTATGGAGATGCTTATCTTCATCAGGGACAGGGAAGCTGGTCAGAGTTGATGGGAAGATGGATGGAGCTAAATACAGGACAATCTTAGAATAAAACCTGTTAAAGTCTGTAAAAGACTTGAGACTGGGGCGGAGGTTCACCTTCCAGCAGGACAATGGCCCTAAACATACAGCCAGAGCTACAATGGAATGGTTTAGATCAAAGCATATTCATTTGTTAAGATGGCCCAGTCAAAGTCCAGACCTAAATCCAATTGAGAATCCGTGGCAAGATTTGAAAATTGCTGTTCACAGACACTCTCCATTCAATCTATTTTTCAAAGAAGAATGGGCAAAAATTTCACTCTAGATGAGTAAAGCTGGTAGAGACATACCGAAAAAGACTTGCAGCTGTAATTGCAGCAAATGCACACGACACTTTTCAGATAATTATTTGTAAAAAATTTTGAATATCATTTTCCTTTCACTTCACAATTACAATTGGGTCCATTTACATTTTTGGTTGTAACATGACAAAATGTGGAGAATTTCAAGGGGTATGAATACTTTTTCAAGGCACTGTATGATTAAACATTCAGCATCATTCCTGCATTATTGTATTAGTCCAACTTGGGTAATCTTTGGACACTGTCTGTTTTTTTTTTTTTGTTTTTCAGTTAGATTTTCGAACCCCGCCAGGGTTTGATCGTACTCGTAATGCTGAGATTGGAAATAAAGATATCAAGTTCAAACATCTGGAAGAGGCTTTTACATCAGAACACTGGCTTGTCAGAATATACAAAGTTAAACCATTAGACAACAGAGAGGCACTGGACCACAAACCAAGAGTGACAAACATTGTACCTAAACAGAAATATTTATCTAAGAAGGTAGGTTCTATGTAGATTGGATGAAGGGCAACTTTATGAATGCTGTGGATTATGTAGATTACCTTGGTGTAATGTAATAGAATTAAAATTATTTACAATACTAATGCTTTGGGTAAAAAAAAAATATTAAAAGGCCAGCTTTATTGAACGTGAATGTGAAAACACCCATTAACCTGCATACACTGGCAAAACATATGTTTATGAACTGGTATTTTCTGAATATGCAGGCGTCAGATGCGTAATTAGAACCTTCAGGGCCCCGATGCAAGAAACCATGAAGGGCCCCCCTGACCTCTGGTGCTGGGGCCTTTCCTCTGAGCCTGGGCCCTTTCCACTGATCCCAGGGTCCTTTATTACGGTCCCGCACTGAGACCCCTTTACATGTTCTACTGCAGGCACCCTTCCTGCTATCTTTGGTAGGGTTGCCACCTTTTCTTCCAGCCAAACCCGAACACTTAAGCGTCGCACACCAATTTTTTTATCGTATACTAATACGTATATCTTTTTATTTTATTTTTATTAACATTTCTAATCATATGGATATAATCTGAGTCCCCCTTTACAGTGGAATCCCCCAAGCTCCCCCTTTGCAGCTGAACTCGACGAGCTTCCTCTTTTAGCCAAACTCTGGAACCAGTAGGATTCCGCTCTCAGTGGAAATCAATCCCCTCCAACAGATTTATTCTAAACCTAATTGAGCAAGGCTACAGGTTGGAGTTAGACTGCCAGACACCATCACATTGCCTAATGACAGCTTCTGAAGGATTCAGAAAATCAAAAGCCCCCCCCCCCCCCCCCCCCTTCTTTTTTTTTTTTTTTTTTTTTTTTTTTTTTTTTTTTTAAAAGCCACATAGTGGATTAGAATTTCCTTATTCCAGTACCAAGAGGAACAAGGAACAAGTTGATGTTTTTTTTTTCTCTCAAATGTTGCCTTATTCTAAACTTCAGACTGTTGAACAGGGCCGTCAGATACAAAACATTTCAGATAGAATCTATCTTCACAGTCAGAGCGATTTTTGAGCACGATTGCTTTATGGCAACCCCGGATCTTTGGAATGTATACTTTCATATTCTCCTAAGGTGTGATTCTCAAAAGTTTTTACATTTAGCCTTAAAAATGGGATCAACAATTACACTATTTTCAGTGCAAAGCCCTTTCCTTTGTTCTTTCCTCAGTCCCAAGAATTTTCTACAAGGTGTTGGCAGAAGCACTATCTCCATTATTACTATTATACAGTGCCAAAAAGCTTGCTCAGCGCTGTACATTATATTGGGGGACTGTACATGAGACAATACAGTAACAATACAATACACGAGGGGTTCGAGGGCGCTGCTCCTTGGAGCTTACAATGTAGGAGCTTACATTAAGATTGCAGATCACGATTATTCTATATCTGGGCAATCTTCTGTAGACATTACTTCATAAACACCGTTAAAGAGAACATTTAGCCCACTCAACAGTGACTAATGAAACTTGGCTAATAAACCAGGTCCGAATACACCTCTGTCTCAAGTAGTCCCTTTCTTAGGCTATGTTCTGGTTTCTACAGAGCAGTAAATTGTTCTACCAACCGTAAAGATTGACTCTCTGTTGTAACATTTTTAATGCATTGATCCAGTTTTTGTAAGAACCGTGATGTCATCACTGGGTCTTATGACCGCAAGCTTTCCAGCAGTTCCCTGGCCTTGGTTTAACCAGAAACAGTTGTGGAATTTTCTAATGTAGGTTTGGAGAGACATTTGGGATTCTCTGAAAAATTAGTAATCTGCCAACCAAAATGAAGTGTTCTCTGTGGTGGTGGAAGAAACAAAACACGGCTGTCTACAGGTCTACTTTGGAAGTGGCCCATCTCCAAGAGAGTGATGGCTGAAGCCAGTTCTCGGGGTTGGGGGTGCACATTTAGTGGAAAAGATTGCCTAAGGTCAGTGGTCTCTCTCCCATGGTGTGAGTGAGCCCTTAGTCTTTTTTTAGCAGTCCATTTAAAGAGAGAGAGGGGGATAACTGTCTAGCAGATTTTTGAGCCACCAGCACATCAGTCAGTTCATCCTTTACACAGAGATCTTTCGAAATCTAATGGATTGTTGGGGTCAGCCAGAAAGTGATCTGTTTTTGAGTCTGGGTTTTGATCTGAGTTGGGAACAGGCAACCTTGGTGCTCCACATCTTTTTACAAGAACAAGAAAGCCTAATTCTTTTTGCTCCTTCCTGGTCAAAGACTGCGAGGTTTACACTCATTCTGTTCCTGACAGAGGATCCTCCTTGGATGCTTCCCATCAGACCAGATCTTGTTTTTTTCAGGGGCCAGTTCAGCATCACTGGGTTCTGAGTTTGAAACTTGCCACTTGGTTTCTAAAGAAGAGGTCTTGAGATAGCACAGAGTCTGGGAAAGTTATAACTTGAATTGATGGCTCTCGTAACTGGTTAACAACTATTTATGGAAAGGGTATAAAAGAAGTTTAATTTCTAGATTTAAAAAAAAACAATTTTGAATTTAATATACTGCCTGTCTTGGTAAAGATCCTGGCTAGAAGATTCTCATTTCTTTACGGCCTTGACTTGTAAGAGGCCAGCCAGGATCAAGGCATGTCCTAGTTGGGATTTGTCTTTGGTCTTGTACAAAGTAAGCAGGTCTCCTTTTGATCCAATTATGGAGACCACTATCAAGAATCTCACGCTTAAAATGGTATTCCTGATTGCCATCACTTCTGCCCTCAGAATAAGTGACCACCATGTCTTGTCTGTCAAAGAGCTTTTTTGACATTTTTTCTTAAAAACAGATCCAGGTTTTCTCCCAAAAATGTTGTCAACTTTCCATAGGACTCAGGACATGGTTCTGCCTATCTTCTGTTCGAATCCTTCTAATGACAAAGAAAAATAATTTAGCATCTTTGATATCAGAAGATATTTACTGTCTTACCTTGATGCAACCAGACACTTGTTGATCACAAGCTTTGTTCGTATTTTTTGCGGGTAGACAAAGAGGTGAGTGAGCCTCTAGCACATTGGATCAAACAAGCGATTTCGGAATCTTAAGAGAGTATGAATACAGATTCTCCTGCCTGGTTAATTGCGCATTCAACTACAGCCTTAGTAGCCTCTTGGGAGGAAAGTGCTGGTGCCCACCCCGGAGAAAATTCTTAAGGCGACCATTTGGGCATAAGGTTCGACAAGCAGTGGTCCCACCCTAGCTGGTATGTACTTGGTTATCTTGTCCTGGAAGGCGACTTGAGTTTTTGGCTTACCAGTAACTTTATTTCCAGGAGTCTTCCAGGACAGCCAAGTGCCCACTCTTTCCATTTATGGTGTTCTTGTTTATGTATATTTTTCAGGTCTGTTCTTTGGCTCATGTACACTGAAGCATGTGCCTGGGGGACTGCCTTTTTAAATAGTACCTGGCAATGTGTTTTCTGTCTTGGGGGAGGAGCTCCATATTTCAGAGTCTGTATTGGAAGACTAGTGGAAATAGTTACTTGTAAGCCTAACTCTGGCTTTCTATACTTCAGACAGAACTTTATAGTTTGGAGTTATGTTATCCCTTTATGGAAGTAGAGTTATTATCCATGATTAAAGAGTAAGCAAACACCTGATTTTGACTTTTATGTACATTAGTTCTCCAAGCCAATATTTATAAAGAGAGCCATTACTACTTGCCAGATGGTATGGTATAGAATTTGGAAGGGTTAGAATCAAGGATACTTTTTCTGAAAAAATTAATGACACTAAGATACGAGGGGTGTTCAATTCAAACCGGGACCTTTGAGTTTAGATAATTAAAGAACACATTTCAAGGAGTGGAAACTGCATTTATTTTTCAACATACTCCCTTGCTACACTTATTCTAGCGTTAAATCTTTATATGCCGAAGCATTACAAGCATTAGTCAGTATGCCTGAACCATCTTAGGACAGCGTTCTTCACTTGGTCCTGATTGTGTTCACCGTTCCCACAGGAAGATTAATCTCTTATGCAATTTCACAACAGGATATGTGTTGTTTTATCCAGGATCTGGTGTTCCACACGGTGAATGTTCACAGCAATGACTGCTGTAGGATGGGAATCACCATGTCTGATATTGTCACTGATGGATGTTCGGACATCTTTGAAACTCCATTTACATCATTCAAAGTCTTCTGTAGATATCCACGGCTTTTACGCCTTCATTCACAAACGTCATCACCACACACTGTTCCATGCACGCACCAATATTGTTGGTCTGGCATCTTGATTAACGGTCCCTGGACTGGCCTGCGACATGTGTGCCACCTATCTGTAGTAGGACACAAATGCCACCTACTACTGTGTGTAGTACCTAAATGCTGGCATCCATTTTTATACCTGTACAATTAAGTCCCGGTTTGACTTGAACATCCCTTGTATGTCTAAAGCTATAATTTAAAAAAACAAAACAAAAAAAAACAAATTAACGGTCAGGTTTTCATTGTGGTCTTTGTCTCTGCTGGGAAAATTCACCCTCTTGATGTGTGGTGATCATTGTCACTGGCACAGAAAGTGAGGGGCAATCCAAAATGAAGTCACCAAACCAATAAAGAAGAAGAGATCTTCCAATGGGGACACCTGTTCCAGCAGCAGCTGTCTAAACCTGGATTTCTCCCCATGTTGGAATCTTGTTGTCCCTGTAACCAGAAGTAAAGGGAAATGTCACTGATGGGACAAAAAAAAAAAAAAAAAAGTTCAGTAGAGCATTTTTTGCTTTTAGAGATACTTGATAATTAATAGTTATGCCACAAGAGCAAAATATGAAAATATGAATTGCAAATTTACTTGGGTTTTTCACTTTTCTTGTCTGTTTTTAGACATCAAAAAGGAAGCGTGGCTACATTAAGAACAAGCTGACCCTGAAGAAAGGCAAGAAATCCAGCAAGAAGACGGTTTAAACCAACCCATCTCATAGGACCATGTCCTCGAGATAACCAGTCTTTGCCTTTAGATGAACTCATGTTTATCAGTGACATGAGAGTACAGAACCATCTTTGGTCCAGGATATTGTACAAAAT